ACTGGGGACCCAGCTCTTGAGAACAGATACAAAGAAATATCTGGAGCAGCCTAACCACCATATTCCTACCTAGGTGTGGAGTGTGCAAGTGGAACGAGGTAGGCAGGGTTTGCTGCAGAATATCACAGTGTAGGCATCCTCCTAGACAAGCTTGGTTTTGAAGCTTGTAGAAGTGGCATAGGCCAGTCCATAAAGAGATTAGATGTTGCAGTGCTCAGGGTCACAATTCCTGGCTGCCATAACAGAATCCATACCCCTTCCCCCTAGGCTCATATTCAATACAAGGACAGACTTAGGTGCCTTAAAAAGGGATCTGCAACAGCTAGTATGCTCAGTAGGGAATTGCCTCAGGTAGCCAACAGTAAACGCTGAAGGAAGAAGAGTGTTTTAAAGCCTGCTCCTTTTGAGGGGCTTAGTAGTACCCCTTACACAGCACTACCAGGAAACGTTTACCTCCATGCAGGATTCATGTTAGAGAATAAGCAATACATGCTCTTTATTTCCAAATGTGAACAGGGGTCACTCTTTTTCTAAACCATGGTTAAAGGGGGTAAAGTTAACCCATTTGATCCAACAGAGTAGTGACTAGAATAGTTACCCAGGATGAGAGACACCTGGATTTAATTTCTCCTTCTGCGCCAAGGAATTTATACTGATTTCTCCCACCAGAGAGTCCTAACCTGCAGATTATGGGCTCTCTTCTCCCTTAAGTATACAGCTTCAAGATTCATTGAATCAGAGAAAGGCAACACAACTAATCTCAATATGCAGGGGTGGGAGCAGAGATCGGCTCCAGTCCCTGCTCCAAGAACGATGTCAATATAAAATGCATAAGCAAGGAGGCGGGAACGAAACCCAGTATTCTCCTCTTCCCACAAGGCTAGTGAGTCATGTGGCTCATGCTCTCTTTTTTCTCAATGAATCTTTATTTTTCTTTATGCAAAATGAAGCAGCTTTAACATGAGAGAGAAATAAGGAGAGCTTTCTGTTCTCTCCATCCTTCTAAAATAGCCCATCAACAGGAGGACACTCTTCCAGGACATGGTATATGTTGGCTTGAATCCCCCCAGGAAGAGAAGGAAATAACTCATATCCTGAGTGAGCACTCTAGCAGATTATTGGATGAAAGGAGGGGAGGCAGCTCCTCTTCCAGCCGTGTTATGAAGGAAAAGGGCTCTGCATGTTTTTCAGGGCCTGAGGGAACAGGCCTGCTCTGAGAGCACCTACTGGATCACAGCGAGATGGGGAAGAGTGCCTTTTACAGAGAACCCATTGAGGCTGAAGCGTGAGTTGGAACCCAAGCTGCTCAATCCTGTTATGACCAAGGCAGAACAGGGGCTGTGGCTTCTGTTTTAAGGTCAGGTTTGACGTGAAGGTTAGGTTGAGGATGACTTATATAGGGATGATCCTGCCTTGTGCAAGGGGCTGAACTAGTAACCTCCTGAGCTCTCTTCTAGTGACCTTTTCTTGTATAATGCCACGTTCAGAACAGAATTTTAATATGAAAACCCGAGTTACATCCAGGCCTAGATGATAGATGAACATGGATTTTGAGGCTCTATATTTTGGACCAAGGTGCCTAAGATTTGTGAATCTGGGCCTTAGCCATTTTGTGGATGGGAAAATTGAAGTATGGAAGGGTTACCCCACAGTGCACCTCATAAGGGTATTAGGAAAATTAGCTAATACTTGTGAAGGAGTGAGAGACAGTCACTTAGGCTTCAAAAAGCCTGAGGCTGAATCAATGTTACACGGTTTTCTCTAAGTGGCGTTGTTTAGATAGATAGCAAACAAAACACATATAGGCCCTCTGGTTGGGGAGGGGGGACTGGCTTTGACCATTTTTAGACTGGCTTTGACTGGGTTTAGACTGGCTTTGACCATTTTTAAACTAGTCTGTGCGTGCTGAACTTCTGTTCTATTATGGGCATAAACTGGTTTTACGTGCCAAACTTCTGTTCTGTTACAGGTATAGACCAGTTTTCAATCACTTATACCAGTAAAAGTGTAATGTCTGTACCTGGCCTTAGAAGAAAGGCATTAGAAAAGGACAAATACTATTCACCTTTCCCAACCAAGGTAACCTAGATTTTCCAAACTGTTTATTGATGTTACAGCCCCTTTTGTCCATTACATGCGTAATCAAAAGAGACAGATCCTGAATCGTTACACTACTGTAAAACCAACACTGGGTAAGAGGTCTAACCAAGTGATGGTTCATGAACTGGTTATTTTTATAACTAGTCCTTAATACATCTTAATTACTGATGCGGTAATGGCTGAAAATAATCACCATAGTTTTTTCTTTGGCCTGAGCATAATGACCAAGTGGCCTCAGTTCACTGCTTGGTGACCCAATATATTCCGTGCTGTTAGCTCTCTTAATTTTTGGAGTTTTTCTGCTCATATTTCTGAGACCGCCTGAGAATCTTGTTGGTCACTAATAATTATTCTTTTAGCCCTCAGAATTTTAAAGTAAACTTGTAAATGTGATACAAGAGCCAAAAGGCAAACAAAAGAAACTGAACTGTGCATATTCCCTAAAATAAATAATTGTCTATCTGCACACTGAAACAACTTGGAACTTTCTCTCTAGTTTTTACTGTACATGAAATCTCCTTCTTCATTTGTATAACTATATTTGTTTAAATCTACTTCTTTCAAAAGTCATTTCTATTTGTTGACCAATTGCCTCTATGCAGTTAGTCTGTGAAAACAGGCTCATACAGTGTTGAGAAAAAATGTGTATTTCAGCTATACCTTCACCACCCATCAGGGAAGTTAAGCCACCCACATCCCTTCCATTTATTTGTTTCACCCACTGTTGGTAAATGAGATTACAAGCTCTTTGGAGCTAAGGCTGTCCCATATAATACATGCAGCAGTCAGCACAATGGATTCCAGAACCTGGCTGAACCACTAGGTACTACTGTAATACAAATAAGTAATAACAGGATGTTATATGTTCGTTACTACCCTGGTTAACAATTTAAGATACTTATTGAATTCCCAACCATTTCTGGATTTTTTTTCCTTCTGCCTGGCCAGGAAGTTGCACAGCCTTCTCAGATATTGAATTCACCATTGCAATTAATGCTTTTGTTTTCTCTTGATTTAATTACTGCAGTGCTTTCTACACAAGCCTACACCTCAAGACCACCCAGAAAGCAAAGCAGAGCACAGATGTCCTATTGCTTAATAATACTCCACACGTATGCATGACAATCTGCTCTGGGTTTCATATAGATTCAAGGTGCATTTGAAGATGTGTTTTTATTTATTTTATTACCATGGTCTTTAGGAGTACTAGCCACGTACCAGAATCCCATGTTGTTAGGCAACATACAAACACAGAATCTGTTCAGGAGAGTTCATCATGTAAACCAACTGTAATATAAGAGATCACATATAACAGGTGAGCACATGTAAAGGATGAGTGTTGATCAGCACGCTAGGCAATATAGTACATCACCAGCTTGCCTGTTTGAGTTTTCTGTAGGCATCACAGCAAAGGAGAGTCGCAAGAAGAATCTGAAGGGGGGTGGTAATGAGGTGGCTTTGTGGATACTTACCGCATGAGAAGCACTTGGACAAAGCATGAAGATGTTTGTTGAAAAATCCAGCAAGTAGGCAATGGAGGGTGACATTATAAAGCACTTAACAACTTAGGTCATGCGTGATCCACGGGTTGTTTCTTTCTCCCAGTGAAGCTGCTTCAATTGAGATTCAGCTAAAGGAGCCAGCAGTTCTCTGGTTCATCATACCAGGTGGGATAGTGGGTATTTTCAGTGAAGGAATTAACCCTGTTTTGCTTTCTGGTAAGAGCCTGACTTTAACAATCTTCTATTCTCTAAGTTCGTCTTTTCTCTCAGGCTTTTTTTCCGATGGTTTGTACAAGGATGACAGACATTGTGATTCTTGCTCGGGTCTTGCAAGCAGCTGTGCACAGAGCTGCCCGTGCTGGGAGCACAGCTGTGTGCACATGGAGCAGCTTGTGGGATCACGCTTTGGTGGGGGGCGTTGAACTGGATTTGTTTTGGCTGTTTTTCCTAGCAGGTTGTATCATAGTAATATCCCCAGCAAATTTCCCCAGGAGAGAAAGTGTGAGAGCGTGTACGTCTGTGTGTATGTGTGTGTGTCTGTTTTAAACTCAGTCACTCTGTCCCAGAAAGACAGCATCCCAGTCGCTGTAACTGCTTTCAACTTCACCCTTCCAAATAGCACGGCAATGATGGGCGGATCCAGGATTTTGAGAAAAAGGGTGCAGATGGTGTCGTACACGTTTCTCCAGTTAAAAAGAAACGAGAAGCTTCACTAATCAGTTAGGGGCCTGGAGCTATATTTACTCAATTTAAAATGGAAGAAAAAAACCCCCAAACCCTTTATTGGAATGCCCATGAAAACTTGCGATGTCCTCTATTACCTAGAAATCCCAACTAGACCAAGAATAACCCCAAGACACCGTGTCATTAGTCCTGTAGTCATACAACCAAGCCTCCCCTTCTGGCCCCGCTGCCGGTGACCTGCGCGGCCCCTCACAGCGCGGACGGCCGCGTCCCCCGGGAGCTGCCACGCGCCGCAGCGCCTCTTTCTAGCCGCAGTTCACACCGGGTCTCGAGTCACTCCGGCGAGGGCGCCCTTCCCACCTGTGGGACCGGGGCGAGGACAAGGAGCGGCGCAGCCGAGCCCTGCCTCCCTGTTTGCAACTTCGGCACCGGAGCCCCTGGAGGGAGGGCGGGAGGAGGAGGAGGAGGAGGGGCCGCCCCGCTCCGCCCCGCCCCGCCCCG